TTTGGTTTGAGGGCGGAGTCAAGGAGGCCATTTACGTGAAAAGGGAAAGACCATCTCTGAATGGAGGAGGGGCCTAAGGGTACATCTGTCACCATCTTACAATGCTGTGATTGCAGCCATTCCCCAACTCTCTGTGAATGGGACTCATGGACATTGATCAGTGAGCTTTGATCAGTGGTCATGAGAATTTGCATAATTAAGATTTAGGAACTGCCCTCCCAGCCCATTGTTCCTTCAGTGGTTTCAGTCATTATGCAAATGTCCTGTTTATAAGGTTGAAACCTGCAGTCAGCTGAGACTGAAGACGTCACCTGATGATGACGAAACGTTTCTCCCACAAAACGCTACGTCCTGATGAACAGAATCAGCTTTTGGAGATGCGTTCTACAAACTTCAGTAAATCATAGTTTGTATCATTGTTTTAATGTACTTTCCCTCAAAACCAACAAATACAAATGCAGATGTGTGTGTGTGTGTGTGTGTGTGTGTGTGTGTGTGTGTGTGTGTGTGTGTGAAAAAGTAGATTATCGGCGTCTGATTGAAACTCAGCTATGTACTGTCTGCAGACGGAGCTGTAAGGGAATGTGTGTGTGTGTGTGTGTGTGTGGGGGGGTTGGCTGGACGTATACCTCATTAGAAGTTGCTCATTTCAAGCTTCATATTTTTAGCTCTATCACTCGGTGGGACAGCTGACCACCATCACCATCCAGCAGTCATTTCATTCTGCCAGTTAAACCATAACTTAAACTATTTATGCCCATTTAAGGCTTAATAGATAACATGAAGACTGTAGCATTTAGCATGATGCCGCTCGTTTCAAAAATATTTCCATTACAAATGTCAGTGAACAGTGGCTGGTGGAGGGTTACAGCATGAACACGTGGGTGTAATGCTTTGGACCAACTCACGGCATGCATCACAAGCCCCCGTGTGCAACAACGGCAGCAGTTAAAGGTTCTTACCGAGCCATAGAGTTTCCCTTTGTCATTCATAGCAACGAAGAGACCGCTTCTCACCCCGTAGAGAGTCACCACTCCTCTCTCCACTGGAGAAATTTCTAGCAGGGCTGGAGTGAAACATGAAAAGGACAAGTTGCTAATGCTTAGTAAAGTCAACACTTGCTGCATATCTGCAGAAGATTAGCACAGCTCCTGTATGCTTATGTTTCTTAGTGAAATGGTTCATGTCATATAATGAAACCTGAAAAACCCATAACAACAACACAGAAAACAACGACCATACTTTAATACAATCTTTCTGTTTTAGGGTTGGAGCCTGGCATGTTCTCCACCCTGATGGGTCGACACGGGCCTTCTTTTGAAAGTTTGTGTTTGTGACATATATGAACAATGGTGTTAAAGCAGACACACTTACACTAGGAGTCACGGTCCTGGGTCATGTGAGCCAGTATTCTGAGTTCTTGGTGTTTCTCTTATTCCTTTCAGTCTAGTTTCATTTCAGTTTGTCTGGTTACATTCTGTCATGCCAGGGTTACAGTTTTAATTCATGATTTATCAAGCTCCCATTTGTCTCATCCCTGTGTGAAGTTTTCTGTGTTTCTGTCATGTTTCATGTCCAAGTTTTCTTTGTTTGTCCAGTTCGAGTCATGTCTGGGTCTCGTTATGTTTCCCGTTTTATTTTGAAGGATCCTTGTGTTTTTTGTTTATTGTATTTAGCTTCACGTCCCCTGTCCTGTCATTATGTTAGTTGTTGTCAGCTGTTTTCCCCGTGTGATTCTGCTTCCCCTGATGATTTGTTATGTGTACTTAATCCATGTGTTTCTGCTCAGTCGGTGTCAGATCCTCTGTTAACCTCACCACAGTTTTCATAGGTTTACTCCATTGTTTCTCTGTGTTTTCTAGCTTACTCGGTGTTCATAGTTTGTCACTGAGTGTCACAGCCTTTTTGTTAACAGCGTTCATAGCCTCCTTAGTTTCCCTAGTTCCTTGTTTTTCTTCTGCAATCAGCCAATAAAGGCTCGCTTTGTTTTTGAAACTACGCTTTGTCTCCACCCTGTCTGCATCTGGGTCTACCTCTTTCCTCACACCGGCGCACCCCGCCGTGACAAAAGGCTCATTCTTTTAAAATATTTCTCCATTTCCACGACACAAAAACAAATATGCACTTTGTTATTTTGGTTTGATTATCTGATTTCAGTTTGTTCACATAAACAGCATCTGTGCTGAAGGCCTGTGTTAGCTAAGTGTGTGGAGTACTCTATCACCTCTACAACGTCAGCCTCCATAGCAACTCCAGAGACTCCCAGTGCTATGGAAAATGATGTGGCTGGTCCCAGTGCCTTAGAAGAAGCATCCAGGGGCTGCAGGCCTGTAGCACTGACCTCTCATATCATGAAGGCTAAGGAGACACGTCATAAACACCATCTCCTGCATGTGTTTATATGTCACTGCTATACGTATAGACATGTACATTCATCTTCTCTCCTGTGTAGTTTGTATTTTTCCATGTTGCTGCAAGTTTTAGATCATTTATTTTCTCGTATGATTCACCTGAAGTATCCTG